ATGGACTTCCGCGATTTCGAAAAGGCCCGTTGGCAGCGCAAGCGCAATGTCATCGAAGGTCTCGGAGACCAAGACTCACTTAGTCTTAGGGTCGTTACGCCAGCGGAGTAAGAAAGTTATCTTTTGTATTAAAGGGCTAAACATTTCCGTATTAATTTGAACGGGGATTCCATCGGCACCATATGTAAGCAAATGTAGGCCGGATATTTTGCAAGCCTTACAAAAGGCTAACACGGATATACGTAATAGTGACGCTGAAAGGATATTACAAAGCAGGACGTATCAGAAATCTATTTAATCTCATTAACATTAATTAGAAACTCGTTTAATAGACAATCTATTGACACCGACTATCTCTACATTTGGAATTGACCCTTTTAATCCCATAATTAAATATTATTTAGTCTTGTGAGTGTGATGAGTTGCCTTTTCTATACAAAGTTTATATTTGACTTAACTAAATATGAAATTGTGACAAATGAATTGGAATATGAGCAAAATTCTTTATACGCTGCATCAAAGCTATGTTAATATTTTGATAAGAATGTCTATTCACATACTTTTTACAGTACACGCAGTTGGCATCAGACCAGTAATATATAATCAAGTGTCGCATTAACTCGTCAGCCCTGTATTCTACATTCCAAGGACACAGGGTGCATTCTCGAATAGCAGATATGCAACAAAACTATTACAAATGCATAGGCATTAAAATGTTTAGAACGAGTTTGTAATCTTTGGTAATAAATCTTTATCACAAAAGATTACAAACTAGTCAAAATTAGAGGCGTGAGTCTGTTATTTTTACATTAGTTTATATTAAATAGACTTTCTGTCTATGTGCGCATTTAACAGTCGCTCGTATGGTGAAGGAAAACATCGTGAGGGAACCGGCATGGCTTAGACCCAAAAAGTCGAAGCTGCGTGTCAGACACAGACGGTTGATCACCTACTTGCCTATAAATGACGAAGGAGAATATACAGAAATCTTAAGCCCAGACCTAAAAGGTTATATGTATATGGAAAGTACTAAATCTCAATACTTATAGCTGGATTTTCTTAATGAAAAATTACCAATAAAAAGCAAATACGAATGATATTATACAGAATCAACCGACCGTGATCCATAGATGCAGAATAAAAACATAAGTTTTTGTTGAAAATTCGAACCGAATGACCGTTGAACGAGAAAAAGCAGATTTTATGTTACCTTAACTATCAATAATGGTGATGTTTTTATTGCTGTGTTAAAATATATCTAACAATGCACAAATATTTAAAATAATATTGTATCAGTCTTGCTAAGACCGTAACGATAATAGTGGCGTTTTGGAATTAAATTTGAAAACCTTTGTGAGATTTATTATTGATTGGTTAAACCTGAGATGACTATAAAACAAATGAGACTTTCATATTTCATTTTATAACCTCACCATAATAAATCGTAATCGTAATTAATTAATTTTAATCGATATTATCTATTCAATCGATATTATTTTGATAAATTGGCTAATAATATGAACGATTTTCCTTTTGGTATACACCAGTATTATTTAGTGGAATGGTTCGAAATATTAACCAAGCTAATTTAAATAAATGAATAAACATTAATTTGACAACGTAAAGCCATTTATGGAGGTCACAATGCACCTGCTGTCCGCCACGACTGGAAGCTATTAAGTTATATTTTGTTTATCGAAGAAATGCAAAAATCCAGTAAAATCTGACAATATACTATTAAGAAAACCTTTAGATCGTTGGAACCCGTAGACGTTATTATGCGCGCATATGCAGAACGGCAGTGGTAGTCAACCGTAACATTATGTCGCGACTAGTCATGATTAGGGTAGAATTACAAAATTTGTTATCAATGATTAAGGATCCATTATATATATACTCTTGGAGATTTTTGTTACGCGAGCATCAATTGTTCGCAACACGTCCGTTTTACAAAATACAATCATTCGTAATAGATAATTGTATTTTTTTTTCTAACTGTCCTTCAGAGTTTACTGTAGGCTCTCGGTCTCGAAGCACTGACTGGCAATCAAGTGTAACATTCTGTCGCGACCGTGACCTCCGACGGGTGGACGACAAACAAGTTTATGCATTCATTCAAGACATTTTTATTTTGTTGTATGGTAGGAGAAAAGCAAAGCCAAAAAGTTTAAAAATACAATAAATTTTTGACATAACTTGCTTTTAAAAGTTTTTTTTTACTTCTAAATCATAAAAAGTAGAGAGAAAAAAGACTAATGTTAAAACTTTGCATATATAGGTTTTAACTCTAAATACTGCTAGAGATTAACAGTAGCTAACTGTGATTACATGACAGCATGATATTACAGTAGTTATACTCACATAATACATATTGAAGACTATATTGAAAAAAGTATTTATAATTTTGAACATTATCAATGAGTTAGCTAGAATAATAGCTAGCTATTTTAAATTGATATGTTCTTCTACTCCAGGGTAAAGCTACTGGTCTAATTAGTTTTTACTAATAAAACTTATAGTTTCTAAACAACAAAATTTTTTATATTCACATAGGTCAACACATTTTAAGAGTTAGGAATCAAGTAGGTAGTAGTAGCCTGTATGTAATTCAATAAACTCTACATTACTCCATAGTAACAATATTATTGGACACTCTACAATTTTTTATTAAAATTAAAATCAAGACAATTAATTTAGTACTGTAATTGTAGAATTTGATACTTGTATAAATTTTAAACCTATTTATTTTATTTAAGCATTAAAGTATTCTACAAATTCTTGAGAAAGGCTGATATATGTATTTGGGCCAACATTATCTATTATGAATTCAATAATAACCAACTAGATATGAATGATAATTTTTAAAGATTGCACTATATCTGATAAGTATTAAGATTTTAGTAATTCTTAATCAAAGCAGCATACTTAAGAAATACTAAATAAATAAAAAAATATAAGAGCCTTTCGTTTATTGTACATAGCTTAGAACTTAAAGGACGTGATTAGTCATCGATGTTCTCATTTGAAAATGCATGCAGCATGAATTATCGGTAAAGAAACTATAAATACGGGTATTTAAACAGTTATAATTAAAATTGCTATAAAATAGTGTGTAACTTTTCGAAATCATACAGTTAAACAAAAACGTTTCAGGTGACTGGCGCAGACCGTAAAATGGCGATTCAAAATTCTAGTTACTGATATGATTGTGGCATGAAATGACTTGTTTTTTTATAAAAAAAAAACTTATAAATTAATGATTAATACGATATTTGAAGAGAATTAACGTAGAAGTGCATATTTTAATCTAAAATATAAACTTACCTTTCTATAAATTTGACAGGAACACAGCACCACAATTCACTGTTACGTCAGTACTGAAAACATTCAGAAATTTCACGGTTAGTCAAAATGTCAACATCAAAGTTAATATGAAACCAGATGAAATGCTACCAACATTAAGAAGCATAAAAAGTGTAGAATAAAATACTATCCGAAACAAAGTTCTATAACATCAATGTCATGAAAATATAAGTGTGTCAGGTAAATGTCATCTTTATATTGACAATAAGCAATTAAAGTCATATTTCAAAGTCAAAACACCAAAGTTAGACAATATATGATACAATTTACAAATTAATTTAGTTTACATGAACTATGAAATTACATACTGATCAAATGTTGCATTGTTTATTATAAATAATAATTACAAAAATTCCAGTAGAATCAAAGTCTGAGTAAAAAGGTGAAACTATTTCTGAAGAAGTTTATGTCTAACAACGAAAACCGTAAATACCATTGTTGGTGTTGCATGCATTAAGTCATCGTTAACTTATAATTTTGTACTAACAATCGTTAAACATGTATTATTTTGGCATGGGTGTATATTTCCTTTCTATCACTTGGCTTGTATCTTTATTTTTATGCTGGGTATCTGTACGAACGGGACATTACATTGGTAAAATTGCTATAGTAATTGCGATTATCGTAACTCTTACATTAGTTTTGTTGCCTAGGGGAAATGAGTCATCAGGCAATTTTTACGACAAATCCTACGTTCCTCGTCTTGCTATTCTATTATTTTTACTGGTTAGCGCTATTGGTGCATCAGTGTTCTGTTTTATCCATGTTTGTCTTACGCCTGTGAGAACGCGAATGATAAAAAAGTTTGGTACTGTTAATTAGGTTTTGGCAGTTTTGGTGAGTTCATTAGTTACTTAGTTGTTAATTAAACATATTAAATGTTATTTCTTTTTAACAGTTTTGGTTACTTACATTTGTAGGATTTTTTAATATTATATAACTAACTTATTGAAATAAATTAGATATTTTCATATTATGCTATAAGTTAATTCAAATAGATATTTAAATATAGTATTTGCTAATAGTCACGTTCATGTTATCACAAGATAATGAAATACTATATCTTAACTTTATCTTACTAGTAAACAGTAAATGGCATGAATTAGTATATCATAATATCACCTACTGATTGCTTGTAAGTTTGTAAAAATTAAACTGTCATAGCATTTCATTATTTAAATTCACATTTGTTATTTTGTCAGATGGTCAAATTTCATAAATAAATTTGTATAAGACTTGTGCTTAAGGCTTGTGAGTCATTTAACATAATATATCCAAAATTCCTATTGCTTCTGTACATAAAGCATTTGTTATTAAATATCTTTTATTTTATGCCATCAGTATTTAATATAATTTTAATACAACAACTTCAGTTCCAATCAAAATGTGTTAAGTGACAAATTTACTTTAAATAGTTTATCTTAATTGATAAACCATTGCTCTGCTTGTTATAAGTTGGTACTATACAAAATTTATAAAAACATCAAACAGTTGGTCTCAAAATTTCTTTTTGAAGTTCTATAAACTTTTTAATAAATTCCAAAACCCAACAATGGTGGTTTTAATTCAACATGTATGTTATTTTCCTATTATTCAAATTCAGTTAATACAATTTTTAATATTTTTTATTACAGAGAATGTGTAGTGCCTTGTGTCATGGGCTTAAGTCCCCAGCAAGGCGGCTGGCTAATTTGAGAGTTAAAAACATATCAACATCTATAGTGCACAATGAAACTATATTAGTAAAAAATAATGATGAATTTGTTAATAAGGTATGTCTAATATAGTTTTTTTTAAATATATTTTATAAAAATGTCATGGCTGATTTTATTACACTTTTGAATAAACACTGAATCAATAAGTAACAATAAAATCTTAAAAATAATCCTTAGTTTTTAAATTCTTAAATTTATTTGTGGTTTCGTGTAATTTGCTCAGACATAAACCATTATTATGACTGCAATAAAAAGATGAAATGTTGTTGACTTTTTAATTGGTTGATAAAGGCCATGGTATAATTTTATATTTTATTAAACCTAAGTAATTTAACTGAAGTAAAGAGATTTAATATATGTATTACATTTTTATATACTGTATATTATTGTATAGTTTGTTTTATTAATTATTATTTCACAGAGAAACTAAAGCAAGACAATGATATCAAAATTGGTATATTTCTTTTAATTTGAAATATTTCATCATGTTCTATATTTAAGGATAAATGGTTTAAAATTAAATTTTTAAGTAAAATAAATACATACAAACATTGATTTATCACATTTAAAGTAATTATTGTGATAATACTGTTCAACTAAATTATGTCCAATAAATTGTATTTTACATGTAAACAAGAACAATATAATCCTTTCAGGTAATCAATAATGACAAGGCAGTGATAGTAAATTTCCATGCAGAGTGGTGTGAGCCATGTAAAATACTTACACCAAAGTTGAAGGAGCTTATTGAACCGCATAATAACCTTGACTTAGCCATTGTTGATGTCGAGGAAAATGCTGATCTTGTACATACATTTGAGGTTTGTATTTATGTAATGAATATTAAAAATAATCAATGAATTTGCTTTAAAACAAAATTTGTGTGTTTGTGTTATTATAATTATTTGTTATCTTATATATAAAATGTATCTCATATTAACTAGATCTTATCCCTCTACTTAAAAATGAATTTTGTTATACTAATTTAAACATATCGTCGCTTAGCTAACAATACCGCATAAGTCAGATTTGCTTAGTTTTCAGGAGAGACAAAAAACTGTATTACTTTAACATTTTGTACAATACATGCATGATAAAAATGTTAATATATTGTATTTAGTTAAGCATGATAACTATAAAAACAAATAAAAGAAATATCGTCTTATTAGGTCATTTTCAAGACTTGAGCAGTTTTACTCTAACAAAATAAAGACTTACGCGGTGTTTTTACCTTTTATATTTAAGCTCTATAAGTCTTTCATAGAAAATTTTCTATGAAAAACTATCGAAATAAAAAACATTTTTCAAAAACAGTTTTATAAAACTAATTATTAACTTCAATAAAATAAAAAAGATTGCTTTTTATCAAAAAAAAAAACACATTTCTTTGCCGTTTTATTTTCTTATTCCAACAGGACAACCCTTGCCGGGTTCGCTAATATTATAATATATTATAGGAACTCACTGACTTTTACGACTGTACTGTTTGACGAGATCAACTACTTACCTACTGAGATCAATAAAATTATCTAAGTTACAATGGAAACCAGAGGTGGTTTGCTTTGTAATTTAGGTAATTTTTTCCATAACTTCTAATAATTCTAAACTCTCAAAAACTTTAATAAAATGGTACATTTAACACAAACAATATAAGACAATAAGAACACTTCGAATACTTAACCTACTTCTAAAAATAATACAAAATGTTTATGGATGAAAAATATTTAATTTTTATAAGGTAACTCATGATAATATGCGTGGCAGTTCGAAGGTATCACTGCCTTTAAATCTTGGAGATCCTTATATTTTCTTTGGGAAATTGGCAGTCTTTCAGAAAATAATTTCGGCAGCTCTTCTAAAGGTTTTACATTGGTAATTTTCATTGGACGCTGAGGCAACGGCTGCAAAGGTTCGTCAAAGTTTAAGCTATACCAAATAGTTCCATCTGGTTTATATTTTAATACCCTTAAATCGGTAATAGTGGGATCTCCGAATTTTCTGCCCGGACGAATGGTTTTGTAAATTAAATCCTTACTGAAATTGGTAAAAAAAGAGAATTCTAATAATCGAGACTCATATGGCATTGGGTTATCTCTAGCTGTCTTTGTTATATTCGCATACTGGGAAGGAAGGTAAATTTCTTTTCCCTTTAATCTACATTCGATGGCACTGTGCACAGAGTCGCATTCCATCTGCGTGTGACCTTTTTCTAAGATGTTTTGAGTTATTTTAACTTTTTTATCGATGGATAAACGCAGAAGAGCATTGCTTAAGATGGAATTTCGATTTTGTGCACAGCAGCCATCAGAATACAATATTACCGGTAGTAATTTTCTATTTAAAATTATCTGTAGTTGATCCACAATGCACGATGCGAAAACAGAAGCTTCAAGGGAGCCATTTGATTCATCGAACCAGTAGCAGCAAGCTTCATGTGTTGACAAATTGTACATGGTAAAATTGTGAACAGATAAAATGTCTTGTAGTATATGGCACTAGCCTGAAGGTAGGGAGCAAATTTTACTGATTGAACATCTTGCGTAAATACATGACACGTTTTTCCTTCTATTGCCAATTTTTTGTCAGTGTCTTTTTCTTTTCTAGCTTTGTTTCTTTCCTATCGCGATGTATTGCAATTTCAGTATCGTTTATTACAGCATACATCGCATTGATCTTTTTTGGGATGAAACAGACTAAGATTCTGTTTTAAGAATACATTGTCAAAAACCCTACGACTAAGACATTTTAAGGAATCTAATTCGCATTTACTGACGTATTCTTTGTTTAATTGTGCCATGGTATGAAATACTGGTTCTAGGTATCGTCTGGATGAGTTTGCTCGACAGTAGACGATGGCATCTTCGGCAGGCTATCTAAAAATTGCTGTAGACGCTCGTGACCATCAGAGTTCTTTTTGGAGCAATCTACATTCCGAGAAATCTCAGAAGGCGGTGGCATAGCACAATCTGTCGTTATCAACCAGTATCGGACAAACCATTCTTTAATACCCAATGTATTTAATAACATTTTTTCTCTATGTCTCTTTTGTAAGTCACGTAAAGTAATAACTTTACATTGAGCGTCAACTCTTGAAAAGTCATCAGGCGTGGTATCATTATCGACCATTTTGTCCATTTTCGTGTTCTGAAGTAAAATATAATATAATTACGATATAGTAATCATTAAAAAAACTGCGTAAAAATCGCTAATTATATCGATGAATACCGCAGCAGTCAGAAACTCAACACAGAAGTACATTGTAAGTCATTCAGACATCGAAACCAAGTAAAGAGAAAACCGCCTAACTCAACGAAACTGTTCATTCCAACACCGCTTAAGTATTCATGTTTTTAAAAGCAATCGTATGACGTATTTTAATAGATAAAATATGAATACTATGTTTTATTTAAGTTACCTTACCTTTAAACTACATCAGTGGAGCCAGTCCGTTACAAAAAATCCGCTTTTTTAAAAACGACAAACGATCTTATAAGGTGCGACGTGGCACGGCCAAATTACTATGGCGTTATGATGACTTGCGCGGTGTTAGCGCAGCCAATGAGTTGTGTTGTGTTACTAGTTTTTGAATAACGCGCTCTTATTGGACGATATTACCTCTAGCGAGAGCTCATTAGACGCGCGGGAAAGTAATCTATCGAATGGTGTAAAAAACGTCATTTGGCTAAAATATGACTTGTGCGGTATTGTTAGCTAAGCGACGATATATAACATATATTGATAAAGTTTTGCTGTCTTGTAAAAACCTTGTTTGTTGCCTAGACGAGAACTCTTGTCAGCAATAAAGCTAACCGTTGCTCAATAAAATCTGTTTGTCAATGTGTCTTGTATTTGTCTATAAAAAAATCTTTTCTTACAGGTAAAAGCAGTACCCGCCGTGATAGCAATAAGAAACGGGCTAGTCGTAGATAAATTTATTGGGCTAGTAGACACGGATATGATTAATAATCTCATTGATCGGATGTCCGGAAAGAAAAAGGATGACGCGTAAAGGACATGTGACTTGCCATATATAAATAGTTTATTATACGCAAATAAATATCCGAAAATATACAAAAATTGTATATATATATATACAAATACAACAACTACTACAACGGCACCTGCCTAGGGTAGTTGAAATGAATCTATGGTAGAAAACTTGATAATTGTAACTATTTTTAAATGGCAATACTCGAATCGTAAATACGTAAGTTGTACACAAATATGTTTAAAATTTTATTTACACAGATTGTAGAAAATTTATTAACTTAATTAATTTTAAAACCATTCTTTATATAATTCTGTAACACTTATTATTTAGGGACGTCTGTTTTATATTTTTTAATCCTCTTTGACTTCTAACAATTGAAATTTGAAAATATTGGAACAAAATGTAAAGTTAAATATAGATTAGGTTTTTAATATTAAAATTGAATTTTAAATGTACTATACCGTCTTTGAAGTATACATACTGACACAATAACGTTTATAAGATCTTATAATTGACAGGCATTTGACGTATTTGTCATATGTCAGTTGCCCTGGTGTAAAAAGTAGCTCTAGCAGAAATAGACAATTTTATTATGTAAACATATTTCGTTTTAAAAATAAACATTGTAAGGGGTTGTTCACTAATCACGTGAGTTTTTGCATCTTTTTATTGCTCCCACTTCCCTATTGCTTCAAAATCGTTTTTGACATTTGGGAGTCACATTTAATGCAACTGTTTCTAAGAGAAGAAATTTAAATCAAGTTCTGAGCTTATGCGATGTACACTATAAATGTTTTAAGGATTTAATTGTAAATGGATATGTAGTTAATCATACCTTTTGAATAATTTACTTTAGTGAGTCGTGGTTTATAACCGACAAGTTCTCGTTTAAATCAGTTAAAAGGTGTCGTTGAAAGTTATATTAATTTTTAAAGTAATACTTCTTTAGGCGCGTTATGAAAAATTGTTGAGAGTGAAATTTTGCGATGCGCTCGCACCGTGACACAAAATTAACAGAATGAAGTTGCCCACGGAAGATGCTACGGCATTGGACATAAATAAAAAACAACATTCGAATAATAATAGAATTTATGTTACACTTAATGTAAGAGAATAATAATAAATATTTATTTATTTAATTTTTCAAATGAAAACTGACCTTTATTGACTATAATGACTCTTTTTCCAGTCTTTGATTATTTAATTGTAATTAATTATTTTCATGCAATCAAAAACTATTTTTAATAACGCCAAAGAAGTATAACTTCTTACGCGCGTACATAAGTACACGCACCCCTTTTTTTGTCTTCGTCAAATATGTATAAAAAAATCACGCAGTATTTCATACCACCTCATTAATGGATGACTCCTTACTTTTGACAGACTAGTCACTCAAATAGTTCAAATCAAAACCTTAATAGAAAGTATGTTACGTAGATTAGTAAATGAATGTTGTGAATTTTTGACCTATTATTATTATATATTAGTCCAAGTTCCTGAGCTTATTTACGATCTTAGTATTAGGTCCAACGCAGACATTAGGCAAACAATTTTTGAACGTCATTTCTTAGGAGTAGTGATTGGAATTTTGAGGCGATATAATATGAGGGGATAATACTAGGGTTTCCACCTTCTTTTTGCAATTAAAGTACAATGGTATATAATACAGAAGAAAAAAGATATTATATAAAGTAAAGTAAAATTTATTTTTCTTTATTATTATGTTTAAAAACATATTTTTTATTATATAACAAGCACTGAAATGATGTGGGCGTGTGGTGCTAACGAGTACTGGCGAGTGGCAACATCGATTCATCGATAAATATTTAAATATAGTATTTTCGTGCAAAGTGCACATTGTTCTCATAAAGTATAAACAATTACTAGTAATAACGTACAATACTTTATCAAGGAGTACGGGTGGCAACCCTTGATAATACACGAATAACAATACTATAGAACGAGACGCACTAAAATAACATATTTTATATAGCTTTTGTTTCTGAGTAGATTTTAAACGCGGTTCCTCTTTGTAATGTTTTAACTAAACGTCGAAGGTATTGTTATTCAAGTAATATTACTAAATTCCCTTATAAACTAAATAAAATTCTACATAATGTAGCAAAATTGTATCAGAACAATTCAAGTTTTATCCTTTCCTACTAATGACTTCGTAAAGTTAATAATAATAATCAACATGTGTGTAGGCTTAAATATCTACTGGGTCCATATAGACTTTGTCTTATGAATACGTGCTTATTATATGTGTGTAGGTAAACCAAATTTCGATTATAATATTGTATGTAATTTTTCTGTCTAAAACCAAATATGTATACGAAATAGAGGCCTACGTTTACTACTGAATTTTCTTTGTCATAATGAATGGAAGTTTGTTCTGCCTTGATGAATTAAGCTAATAGCAGAGTACTTACAGGCCTCGTAATATAATAGTGACTTAAATCGTACATATTAAAGATTTTTGGCAGCCCGAGCAGTTGCTAAATTTGATCTTGCTTGCTATTTAGGTCAAATAATCCGCTGGCGATTCTCTGACCTGAACCTAGGATTTCGTGTACAATAACTAAAGAATAATTCTTGAGATGTATTAATTATACTAGTGTATATAAACAATGTGAACCTACTTTTGCTAAGTAGACCTATTAGTTTTTCTATAACGGCCAGGAACCCAAACGTCCGTTTATCATATTACAATAAATTTTCTTCAAAATGATTAATAAAATATATTTTCTTGGGAAATTTGTTTAATTTAAAACCTATATTCTGAAATTTCTCATTCACTCAGCTATTACCACTCACCATTATTTCAACCAAGTAATATATTCCTGAGGGGCATTCCGGCGCTGCATGATTTTTTTTACGTATAAAGGTATTTAAGGTGTTTAGCAATCAGGTCGATTGCCCTAACTTTTAACAAGATTTAAAATTCGTGTACCCTCTAGATACCCCAAGCATCCCATCATTCCATTTGTCCATGCTTACTGGAGAACGCGTTATGGTCAAAACTTCCCCATGTCCAGATTGAGCATTCTGATAAACGAGCTGGGTCGTGGTATCCATAGTTGCCTCACACTTTAAAATCAATTTTCGTTTAGTTTTTATAGTTTGTTTAATTTCCTTTGATTATCTCTAATATGTTATGTGTGTTTATTATTTATTGTTATTGTACCAATATATCAGTGTGCCAAGCTTTTATTAATAAATACAGATATGTATTTGTCAACAAGTAACCCATTATAATGAGGGTATACTTTATTATTTATCTGTCGGACTGAATTTATTAAAAACGATATTGTTTTAAGGCTACATTGACCAAGACTTGAGGCTTGAGCTAAGCCTCAAGTCTTGGTCAATGTAGGTTGTAATGTTCAGATCAGCAGCCAGAAAAATGCTTCTGGTATCCAAATTTCTAAAGGCCCTTCCAAACCTAGTCACGTAGATGTATCGTTAATTTCATTATTTTTTCCTTGCTTTAAAAATACATTTTGTATCCATTGTAAGTGTAAACATTATGCGGGTATATCATAAACTCTTTTGCTTGATTTATAATTTGATACATTTTAGTATATAGTTATTTTGGGCTGGCGATGTGAGTGAGTTGTTGCCCCACATATTTTTATGGTGCCACTGGCGGTTTTGTTTGTTCCGGGTTGGGCTGTCCCTCTAAAAGTGGTGTGGCTGCGGTTTTTTTGGGGGGGTTTTTTGTTTTTTTGGGCCGGGTTTTTTTTCTTCCATCCCTGGTTCTTTCTTCCAAAGACCAGTCCAGTAAATACTCTGCATTTGTTTACACCAATTTATTATTGTATTATCTGGACTATAAAAGAGACTAAGACCCCCGAGTTTGTTTCGACATTTCTTCTCAGGGCAGTCAGTTAGGAAATGTCGACTTCATCTAGTTTAGGATGACTGGTAGGGAGCCCACATCTAAATGGGGATTTACTCGACTCGTAGAGACCTATTGGGATGCAAAGCTTAGATAATAAGAAGAAAAAAATGTTATATGATAAATTCCTTTTTCATCGGTGGGGAAGCGGCTATAGATAGTTAAATATGTAAAAAAACTGTTGCATGGACATCCTCGAGCGCGTCAGATATTGATAGCATCTATGCCCTACGTATTTTTAATAATGTACGTATGTTAATCTGATCGTTTGCATGATGCGGGTGGTTGTATTTAAGGGTTGAAAATGAAAAAAAATAATTTTATCGAGCCGTCAGATTTTCTAAGGGAGTGTTAAGTGCACCAAAAAAACTCTCATTCACTAATCTGACGATTTCGATGGGACCAAACCCACAGCCATTTTCATAATTTGCAAAAAAATCGCAATTTTGAAATACTCAACGCGTCAGATTAAGATATATGTGGTTCATCTTTATGTTCTAAACGTACTGTCTCATAATCTGACGATTATCTAGAGGGATTCGCCTGATCTGACAAAAAAATTTAGAAAAACGGTTCACCTAAAGGGCCATCCCTCAACTTCCCGCTAATTCCATTCCTGGGCGCTTAAAATTGATATTTTGAGCTCGCTGAGTTCAAAGAAATAAATTTCTATGCATTTGAGCTCTCCCAGCTCGAAAGTCTGATTGAAGTTTCATAGAACACTATTTTTGGAATTTTCAAACCGCAATAACATTTGAATGGATCAAGCAATTTTCACGCGGTTGGCGGCATTCGACGCAGTTTTATCATCCTCATAAGTAATTTTGCAATTTTAATTGATCGAACCACAAATTTCGAGTAATCCCGAATAAACACTTTTTCGGGTTTCTTTCGTTCACGATATCTCTCGAACGAATCAACCGCTTTTGACCAGCTTAGTGGCGATCAACTGGTTTTTCAAGCTCAAAGGCGGATTAGCTTTTTTGAAGTTGATCGATAAAGAAACCACTTTAAAAAAATATTTCTTAATTTTTTAAGATTTTTCATAATTTCTCAAAATCTATCGTTTCGAATCGGTTCAAATTCACAGGAAATGTAATTTTGAGGGAAATATTTA